TCAAAATACATATTGAAACTCCTTTTAGAATTTCCTTCGAGACAAATCTTTAAATCATTCTTATCATTTAGGGATCATACATCATTTAACAGCAAAAAGATAGCACTCATTTTAGCTATCTTTTACTTCATTATGGCTGAGGTAATATCAAGTGGTTCCCGTCTCCCTTTAAAATCAAAATCATCTTCAGCAGTTAAAGGGTTCTGCCACTATTGGGAATGCTGTAAAACAGTGTTCCTCAGGTTCTGAAAGCAGTTACAAAAGAAGAGTAGCAAAATACTTGGAAAATGGTAGCATGGTTAGAATAAAAGTTTAACCCCTTTAAATGATTAAAGACTTTGTAAGAGACAATGCTTTTGTTTGTATTTGGGGTCTCTGTATGTGTTATTTGTACACACACCACACTTTTTTTTGTCATTCTTTATAAGTATTTATCATAGATTCTTCCCTATATTTGTATCGTTTGTTTTTGCTCCTATTAATTTTGTACTGTTTTTAGAATGATATTTTTTTTTTTAAGATTTTACTTATTTGTTTGTCAGAGAGAGAGCACAAGTGGGGGGGCAGCAGGCAGAGGGAGAAGTGGGGCTCGATCCCAGGACCCTGGGATCACGATCTGAGCTGAAGGCAGACGCTTAACCGACTGAGCCACCCAGGCGTCCCTAGAATGGTATTTCTCACATTGGTCAGAGTAATTGTATTTTCTTTCTGAGTATTGGCAAGTCTGTCTAAATTTAGTCCTATACCTAATAGAATACAAAGAGGGTTACAAAATGGTATTCCTGAAACTTAAAAATAGCTGACATTTTGAGAATGGTATATTTTTTAAAGATTTATTTATTTGAGAGAGAGAGCGAGCACAGGGGAGGGGCAGAGGGAGAGAATCCCAAACAAACTCCCGCTGAGTGCCCCTGAGAATGATATTATCAAAAATTAGTATTCAAGTAGGAAGCAAAAAGCTTTTATCCAAGTCAGAGATCAGGGTATAGCATGATGTGAATTCTGCCTAATTAAAATGTCTATAGGTGCTTGTATTAATAGAACTGAAGAAGAGATATGCCATCAAAAGAAGAATGCTTAATGTGGGGACATAGAAGAATAGAGTCAAAAGAGGCAAAACTGCCATGCCACTGGAAAACTTTCCAGGTGCAGGGCACCTGGGTGGCTCCATCTGTTAAGCATCCAGCTCTTGATTTTAGCACAGGTCATGATCTCAGGGTTGTGAGAACGTGAGATCGAGCTCTGCATTGGGCTTTGTGTTCAGCAGGAACTCTGCTTGAGGATTCTTTCTCTCCCTTTCCCGCTGCCCCCACCCCCCTGTGCACTTGCTCGCTTGCTCGCTCTGTCTAAAATAAATCTTAAAAACAAACAAAACTTTCCAGGTGAAAAGGTGCCTTGCTTAAAGAATTCAATAGTCTGGCCCTAATCCAGGTATGGCCCTAATGTGAAGATGGACTTATCCAGTCACTACAGCCTATAAAATAACTGCCTTTGATGGGATTCTGTGTTCTCCAAGTAAACCGATTTTAATTCAGCTACCCTGTTACTCTTCCTTAGACTACATTGTCAGGTAGTTGTGAACATTTGGGTTCATTGTATGTTACTCATTTTGGCATTCTTGTTTATATATTAGTCACTTCTGTGAATTGCCTTCTGTGAGTCCTGTCTACTCTGAGTAGCAGGATTGAGTTTGTGGACCTGGGAGATGACGGGCCATACACTAGGCAAATTCACCAGAGAAATGTGACCCAGTGTGGCCTTTTGGTGGTCATTCAACTGAACTTACCTTAGAATGCCGTCTGTATGTTATTAACCCTTTATTTAAAATAAGTATCATCTTTGTATTTGATCATTTTCTCAGTTCCTTTACCCTAGTCATCCCTAAAGATTAAATAGAGTGGGCCCTGCATCTTTAAAATTATTTTTAAGAACCTATATGGGGGAAATGTGGTCATGTCTCTTTAGAACCCTAGTGGTTCTAAGCTGCTTGCCCTTTCTTCAAAGAGATGAGTGATTGGATAAAATGGATTGTATTAAAATTTTCTATTTACTTGATCTTCCTGTTTTTGTATAATAGGAGGTGTTCCCCTCCAAGGTAAATGACAACTATTTGGAAAACCTCTACCATCCTATTGAAAAGGCATTTCTTAAAGATATCCTTACTGTGACGTGTTATAATCCTCAATTTATTTATTATTTATATTTATAATCCACATTTATTATTTATAGGGTAAATATGAATTAATTCAACATTTATTGAGTACCTTGTGCCAGGAAAAGTTGTAGTTACTGGGATTATGAGGATGATTAGCATGGGATCTATATGCTGGAAGGGTGCCTCATTAAGCTTTGAAAATTAGTGTATGTGTAAATAATTATGATAAGTGCTATGTTAGAGGTATTGTGGAAAAGCATGAGAAAGTGATTTTGGGGGGAAAACTAAGTTTAAAAGATTAGTAGAAATTCCCTAAGTGGAGAATTGGAGAAGATACTTCCAGCTCAAGGAAAAACTGAGTAGAGGTAGAACAGTGTTTGCTGTGAAGATATGTATGTGGCTTATGTGGGGAGAATGGCTTGAATTTCAGCTTAGACACCTGCTGGTAGTGGTGAGAGATAAAGCTGAAGCCTGGTGAGTTATGGCTGTCTTTATTTACTAGGCTGAAAACCTGTGTCTTGTCTTCCTGTCAAAATGGAGAACTGTCATTTATTTATTTATTTATTTATTTATTTATTTTTTAGAGAGAAGAAGAGAGGGCATGCCCAAGTTTGGGGGGGTGGCAGAGGGAGAGAGAGAATCTTAAGCATGAAGCAGGCTCCCCATGGGGCTCAGTCTCACGACCCTGAGATTCATGACCTGAGCTGAAATCAGGAGTCAGGCACTTCAACTGACTGAGCCACCCAGGCGTCCCCGCAGAGCCATCATTTAACTAAGAGTGGTGTTAACCAGCTTTGTAGTGTAGAACAATTACTGTAGAAACAATAGAAAGGTGGATTGGAGACAGTCCACCTTGGGAAGGTTTTACAGTTAAGAAATGAGAAGGACAACAACTAGGACAGTCAGAAGAAAGCAGGTTCAGGATATATTTTTGAGGGGGAATACATAGAACTTGGTGACAAATTAGATGTTGGGGTTGAGGGAAAAACTGAATAAACTCCAGGGGCATCTGAATTTGTGGTAATGTCGTTAAGCAAATTAGGTATGATAGATTTAGAAAAAGATTTGAATGTTGGGTTTTGGATATGTTGAGTGGCACTGTGTCTGTCCACTAGATAGGTTGGAGTTTAGGAGAGATTTGGGAACATGGATTAGAAACTCTCTCTCTTGGTGGTTGGCACTGCTCATGTGCTATCTTAATCATTATACAACCCTGAAAGATAGGTATTGTTGTCCCTCCCTGTTTTATAGTGAGGAAACCTAGGGTTAGAGAAATAAGTCATCTGCCCAAGGTCACATAATTATAGATATTTTTCCATAGTGCTTGTGTTATCTACTGCTGTGTAACAAACCACTCCTAAATGTTGTGACTTAAAGCAATAATTTTTAATTATTTCTCATGGTTCTGTGATTTGACTGAGCTCAGCTAGGAAGTTCTAGCTTGGGATTCTCATTTGGTTGCAATTGGCAGCTGGAACTAGAGTCATCTGTAGCTTGACCTGGCTGCATATCCAAGATGGCTTCTTTATTTGTGTGTCTGGCATCTCAGCTGGGATGGCTGGAAAAGCTAGGGGTAACCATGGGGTGATCTCTCCCCACAACGTCAGACCACACAATTAGTCTAGGCTTTCTCACTCATCTATATAGTTGGTTTTGGGATAGTAGGACTTGTTACATGGTGTCTGGTTTACTCCAGGGAGAGTTGTCCAAAAGAGCCAGGCAGCAGCTGCGAGGTTTGTAATGATCTAGGCTTGCAGCATCACTGCAGTTATATTCTGTTGGTTAAAAGTGAGTCATAGGTAGGGGGGTGGGGGGATGGGTTAGCCTGGTGATGGGTGTTAAAGAGGGCACGTACTGAATGGAGCACTGAGTGTTAATACGCAAACAATGAATCATGGAACACTACATCAAAACCTAATGATGTAATATATGGTGATTAACGTAACATAATTAAAAAAAAGAACAATTAATATATCCACAAAAAAAAAAAAAAAGTGAGTCATAGGACCCCTAAGGTTCACAGGGGGTCAGGAGCAAGGGAAGACTATAGGGGGACATGAGTATCCAGAGGCCATCTTTGGAAATGAGCTTCTTCCACACACTGCTATCTTTGGAATAGTTTTTGGATAGCATAGAAATAGATGGGTCCTAAGAATGCCTTGATAAAATGTGAAGAGAATGCAAGAAGACAGCTCTGGGAAACATATTTTTGAAGGAAGACCCAAGGAAGAGGAGTCAGTGGGGAAAAAAATACTAAGAGATGGAGGAAGAGAACTTAGAGAAAGTGGTGCCATAGAGGCCAAGGTGGGGGGGGGGTCACTGCCACCATAACCATACATCCTTAGATTTGGTTGTTATGTTAGAACAGCTGTATTAAATGTACTCAGATAGTTTCGATCACCTATGATGGGACCTGGCCTTCTGCTACCAGATTTAAAGGCTGACCTTTTTCTCCTTCTCATTTATTCCACTTTACCCAGTTGATGCCTAAATTTCAAAGTTAGAACTTAAATGGCCTAGTCTAGTGTGAAACATTTACACTTTAAGTCATTTTTAAATTGTGGTTACATTTGGGATACTTTAGTGAGAGTAGACTTCCATAGACTAGAAAGAATATAGTGTTTCTGACTTCCTAAAAAGGTGAGAGTTCTCTGTGTAGAATGAGAGGGTGGGAAGGTGAAATTAATGGCACACTTCTGCTGGTCTTGCTAGGATATTCTTTTGAGTTCCAAAAAAGTAAAAAGTGCCATGCACTGAACTATAACATAGCTGGAAAGAATAGATAAAATAGGAAATTTAAAAATTTTTGTTTTTAATTAAATGGCTGGTGTTTTCTTTATTTCAGAGCACAAAGTTATCATTGTTGGGCTGGATAATGCAGGGAAAACTACCATCCTTTACCAATTGTAAGTATTAACTACTTTAAATTTTTTTTTAATTGTTCAGTTATTTTTTCTGCCTGGGTGATACTTGATTAACAAAAGCAATAAAAAAATTATATGGAACCTAAATTATTCTGTAAGAAGACAGGTTGACTATAAACCAGGAGCCAGATTTAAGCAACTATTTCAAGAGAACTAGGAATTTATATGACATAGAGCATGCTCCCTTTTTTTTGCTTGTAGAAAGTAGAGAAATACTGTTTATTTGGTTCTGGGAATGAATCTAGAGAATTTAAGATAGTTCACTATCTAGTCCCAGCTCTCTTTAAACCGTTAACTCACTCTTATGAGCTAGCAGAAAGGGCCATTTGGGTATGAATATAAAAACTCATGCTGATTTATCCCTTAATTGAAAAATGCTCAAACAATCTTGCTTCCTTGCTAATTGTAATATATTTGAACTTTTTTCCCCCCAGTTCTATGAATGAAGTTGTACATACATCACCTACAATAGGAAGTAATGTAGAAGAAATTGTGATTAATAATACACGTTTTCTAATGTGGGATATTGGTGGCCAAGAATCCCTTCGTTCTTCTTGGAACACTTACTATACTAACACAGAGGTAATGTTTCTTAATATACTAAAACTTTTATGAACAGAATGCTTGGGAAACATCCAGATGTGAACTCTTATAGTTAATCTTTTTGAAATAGTCCAGTATGTTAATAAAAGTAGAATTTAAACATAGTGGAATCTTTGATTCCCTGTTTCGGTGTCATTGTGTAACTACTGTCATTGAACCTCTCTCGGGAGAATTGGAATGAGGGAGTAATTGATTAGTCTGATTATGTATTGATCCCACAACTTGTCTTAAGTAGTTGTTTTTATAGTTAGTTCCATCTCATAGTTTGTCATTTCATTTCTCTCTTACTATTTATTTTTGTAGGCATAGAGAAAATCCTAGTTAAATGAGAGGGTCCTGGAGGATTGAATCCTGGCCATACTTTTACTATGTATGTTCTTTAATGCAGCACAATTGCATATAAAAGAATTCTTTTTCTTTTTGGTTATAAAGCAATTTAGACAAAATCGTATGTTCTTATTTACATGTTATTTCCCAAGAGGAAACTTCAGACCTATGACCTTTGACAGCTTCATTGTACTGATTTTATAAATTGAAAGGCTGTGACAATCATTTTTGTAGTGCTGATTATAAGGTAATAAAACTCCAAATGTATATAAAGATGAATATTATGTTATTAAGACACTATTAAGTGTCTCTAATGAGTTGATCCCTTAAAACTTCACTAAGCATTTGATCATGTTTTTTGGAAAAGGGAAGGTGTATATGGCTAGTACTTCTATGTATAATGCTGCAGGTATCAAACTTATGACAACATCTTAAAAATTAACAGTTTTATTAAAATGCCTTGGAATAGAACTGGTCTTATAGTAATAAAGCCACTTATCAGTAAGTATCAAGTGAGAGTAGAGGTAAAATAGCAGTTCTCAGCCATCTGCTGTATGGTTAATGAAATCTGAAAAATAGAAAAGACCCTGAAAATTACAGTGGTTTATCTGGAAATGAAAAACTAGTTCTAAAAAATAAATAGTGCATGTTAATTATAAGCAGTCAAAGTTAGCCTAATGGCATTACCTGTGCCATCATAAAGTGACTATTTCTGCTCCTGTTTCCCTAGTGGTTTTTGGTGCTCATAGAGGTGAGGAAGAGGTGCAGTGGAGCTCAGTACTCCACGGCTCCTTGACGAGTCTCATTGCATCTTTTGACACTAGTCTCATCATCAGTTCAGGAAAGAGTTGTGCTTGCAGACAGCGGGTACCATTTACATAAAGAAGAGAGCATGGTTTTAGATACGGATTTATTTTTTCAATTTGTTGATTTTTAAAAATTGATTTAACTGTCACATTACTCCCATTATCATGCCCTTTTAGAGTTTTAAATTGATAGTAGTAAATAATATCTATAGAAATATCTAAAATTTAGGATCATAATATATTTTTTTGGTATTGACTTGGGTGCACATAGATGGGTATAGTCTCATTACCATTCAAGATACTAATTTAGAGAACAAACATGTTACATATTGGTTAGAATATTAATATCCTAATAGAGTGTTAGCATTGTATTCTCTTTTCTTATTTTCTCTTAAAAATTAGCAAACAATATTTGAATTAGAAATGGATCAAACCTTTAGGCTTCACAATGTTTAGTAGGTATCTTTGGTTTTCCAATAATGCCATATCATAAGGTTCTAATTTCTTGATATTTGTGGTCTATAAATCAAGTAAGTACTCTATAAATTTTATAAATATCAAATTGTATAATCACTAATTTTTTTGTAATTATTTTAGTTTGTAATAGTTGTTGTGGACAGTACAGACAGAGAAAGGATTTCTGTAACTAGAGAAGAACTCTATAAAATGTTAGCCCATGAGGTAAGTAAGATTCCGGCTTACGTGTGTGCATATATGTGTGCGTGTGTGTTGGGGGGAGGTTCTTTTTCTTTCTTTCTTTCTTTCTTTCTTTTTCTTTTTCTTTCCTTCCTTCCTTCCTTCCTTCCTTCTCTTCCTTCTCTTCCTTCTCTTCCTCTCTTTCTCCCTTTCTCCCTTTCTCCCTTTCTCCCTTGTTTATTTAAATGACCTCTACGCCCAATGTGGAGCTTGAACTCACAACCCCAAGATCAAAAGTTGCATGCTCTTCTGACTGAGCCAGCCAGGTGCCCCTGTGTGTGGTATTTCTGTCACATTTGTTCTTTCTACTTTTACATGACAATACTAGTCCAGTTTTTATTTATTTATCAAATAAACTTTTAATTTTGAAACAATTTTTTTTAAGTAAGCCCTGCACGCAACATGGGGCTTAAATTCATGACCCCAAGATTAACAGTCACATGTTCTACCAACTGAGCCAGTCAGGCGCCTCTACTTCAAATTTTTTAAAAGGTTATTTTATCTGCTGGCCATTCCTGCTTTATAATTTTGACATTTGCCAAATTGGAAGTGTATCTGGAAGTAGCAGAAAGATTGTGGAATCAGTTGTAGAATTTTATTTCTTTTATCCTAGATTAATTTGGTCTAAGTTTTCCTGGGTGAAAAGACCTAAATTGGATTACATTTTGAATTTTGTGTAGATTAATTATACAGAAGGTTATCATTGGAAATGAATTTTTTTGGAAAGATTTTATTTATTTGTCAGAGAGAGCGCGAGAGAGTGGGCAAAAGCAGGGGGAGCAGTGGGCAGAGGGAGAGGGAGGCTTCCTGCAGAGCCGGGGGAGCGGGAGAGAGAGAAGCAGGCTTCCTGCGGAGCAGGGAGCCCAACGTGAGACTAGATCCCAGGACCCTGGGATCATGACCTGAGCCGAAGGCAGACACTTAACGACTGAGCCCCCCAGGCGTCCAAGGAATATATATAGATATCTATATCTATATCTGTATCTATATATATATATTTTTAAGATTTTTTTATTTGAGAGAGAGAGCATGCGCGCACACATGTTAGGAGGAGGGGCAGAGGGTGGGGAAGAGGGAGAAGCAGACTCCCTGATGAGCAGGGACCCCAACATGGGGCTTGATCCCAGGATCCCGAGATCATGACCTGAGCAGAAGGCAGACACCTAACCAACTGAGCCACCCAGGCACCCTGGAAACGAGACTTTAAAGTCTCATGGGCACTTAGCAAGTCTTGATTGTATAACTCAGTTATCAGACTAATATTTAAATGTTGTTGCTCTTAGGGGTTTCTCTGATATTGTCCCTTTGACTAAACAAAACTATCTGACTAGCCACATTTTCTTAGTCTTTGAGAAGTATTACTGGTAGCATAATTTAAAAATTAAATAAATAATATAGTCAGTACTGATAACAGTAACTATAAAATCATATAATAATGTAGTAGCAATTGATTTTTTTGTATGCCTTTCATTGTAGATGTTACTTTCTCAACTCATTTATAGGTGGAAATAGAAAATTAATATTTAGATATATATATAATTTTTAATTTTAATGGAATTTTAACAAAGCTTAAGAAAATTGGGATTTCTTTTTGGGATGCCTGGGTGGCACATTTGGTTAAGCATCTGACTCAGTTTCTGCTCAGGCTGTGATCTCTGGGTTGTGAGATCGAGCCCCGCGTTGGGCTCTGTACTTGGTGCAGAGTCTGCTTGGGATTCTCTATCCTACTGCCCCTCCCCTCCTCAAATAAATATATAAATCAAAAAAAAAAAAACTGGATGTCTTTGTAATGACGTTTCATATTAATTTTTTTTAATAGAGGGAGAGAGAGTGTGTGCAAGTAGTGGGGAAGGGCAGAGGGAGAGGGAGAAAGAGAATCCCAAGCAGACTCCAACTGTCAACATGGAGCCTGATGTGGAGCTTGATCTCATGACTCTGAGATCATGACCTGAGTCAAAATCAAGAGTAGATCGCTTAACCAACTGAGCAACCCAGGCGCCTCAGAAGTCCTTGTTTTCTGTGTGGTGATCATGCCCACCATGATGCAGTGTCCCATTTTGGATTGATTCTGGCAGCTGTATTAAACCCCTTGGATTTTTTTTTTTTTTAAATACATGTTGCTAATCGTGCATTCAAAAGATTCAGTTCTAGTTTGGGAAATAAATAATAAGCTATAGAATAGGTAGAAAGCTAAGGATTTTCTTTTCTTTTTTATTTTCCCTTTGATTTTTACACCAAGGGGTTATTGCTGTTTATACCAAAGGGTTATTGTTGTTTTATGAAGACTTAGGAAAAAGAAAAATAAGACACATACGTACTTGTCTTTTGGCTGGTTTTCACTATCTTAACAGGTAGCCTCCTTTGATTCTTATTCTCATTTGTCAGTATGTAGCAGGATCAAAGAGCCCAATAGTAAGACTCAAACAAAGTCATTGAATTTTACTAGCTGGGGGTATTAACTTGAGCTGGACACTTAACTTCTTCTGTTAATGGATGTTACCCATCTTTTATGGATGAGTACACTGAGGCCCAGAAAATTAGTGACTTGACCAAATTTTTAAGAGCCAGGATTTGAATTTAGGCATTCTCATCATTCAGGCCCTTTGTTAATAAGGTCTCGTTGGAAAGTAAGAGACTGAATGGGGAGATTGCCAGAAAAGAATTATGGATGAAGTTGGGAGCTAGATTAAACCATTTAATAGGGTCGGGAAGAGCCAAATAGGTAGTTTTGGAAGGGGCAAATGGATCAAAGAATGAGAATATGAGTGAAAAACAAATTTGACATGGGTTTAGTCAGGTGTACCAAATTTTGACAGGGTTTAGTAACCAACAAAATCTTATTATCATCACTAATAATGATGCTTTACATGTATAGCATCATTAGAGACTAGATACAAAACTATAAAACGATTTTAAATATTTCTGAAAGCTTCATCTTTTTTTTTTAAGATTTTATTTCTTTATTTGAGAGAGTGAGCGCGTGAGCACAAGCATGGCATGAGGAGGGGCAGAGGGAGAAGCAGACCCCACACTGAACAGGGAGCCCATGTTCCAGGACCCTGAGATCATGACCTGAGTTGAATGCAGACGCTTAACCCACCGAACCACCCAGGCGCCCCCTGAAAGCCTCATCTTAAATGAAGTGCAAAACTTTGAAGCTCATGAATTTTAAAATAGTTCCAAACACAAAAGGATAGATGAAAGTTTATTCAGAGTGACTCAACTTCTAGGAATTATCTTCACAAAGGAAGCTTTGAGAAACAAATTGACAACTGCATATGGCATATGGAAGATGCTAAGTAAATATGTCTTGCATGTGCTGCTGTTCATCTTGACTAAATGAAAAAATATTTTTAGACTCTTAACAACAATCTGTAATAGGTAGCAGAAAGTTTTTTCAAAGTTCAGAATGGCTGATGTATAAAAATCACCACTGTTCATCTTGTACTTTTGACCTCTTGACTTGATAATCAAGTTGATGAGCAGCCTTAATCCAATATATCTCTTTTCTGTTGTTAACATAATGCATAATTGGTCCTGAGGTTATTTAATAAAAAGTAAAAGAAGATTTTCTTCTCTTCCTAAATACTCAAAAATAGGGAAAATAGTTATTTGTTTTTCTAAAACAAGAAGCCCAAATTTAAAAATTTGAGCCAGTGAAATCTAGAAAAATTAGATTCAATATGTGTTTTGAGACCTACAATAAATAGCTTTATTTTTTTTTTTAAAGATTTTATTTATTTATTTGAGAGAGATAGAGAGCACGAGAGGGAAGAGGGTCAGAGGGAGAAGCAGACTCCCTGCTGAGCAGGAAGCCCGATGTGGGACTCGATGCCGGGACTCCAGGATTATGACCTGAGCCAAAGGCAGTTGCTTAACCAACTGAGCCACCCAGGCGCCCTTTATTTTTTGTTTTCCAATTTTCAGTCTAGGGGCTTCTCCAGATTTCATCACCAGGTGTGATGAGTATAGATTACATGCAAATAAAATAGCATAAATTATGTGTTCTAACTTGTACCAGGTATTTCTAATGTCAGAAATGTGCTCTTTGAACATGACAGTATTAGCAGTCCTGACCTATATAAGATTTCAGCATACTCTAGCAAGAGATATTGAAACCTGGAAGATAGGAAGATAGGAATTCCATTCCATGGAAAGTCCACCTACTCAGGGATTCAGCCACATATCAACTATTGATATGTGTTCTGTTTTCCATTTAGGGTAGGAGAAAAAGTATTTGATCCTTGATAATGAATATAGTTAGATGTACTGGTTATAGTCCATCTCTTCAACTTTTTGCCTTTTATATAGACAGGTAAACTGAACATAGGTAAAATAAATTGAATGTGAAATCTTAAAACTTAACGTTCTAGAGTATCCCTTTCTGACCATGCTTTTCAGGTACCTCTGTCATTAACTGTGGTAGCATAGCTGCCATCCTGCAGAGGGCGCTGTAACTAAAAGTGTATCTTGACTGTTACATAAAACATTTTGCATAACGCCTTTTAACCAAATAAGAAATTTATTACTTATATTTTTTATTGACACCAGAAAAAAAATCAAAGAGATTATTGAAACTCTGTTCTCAAAGAGTAGAATAATGTGGAGCAATGTCAGTTTGTGTAAAGACTTTCTTTTTTTTTTTTTTTTTAATGATTTTATTTATTCATCTGAGAGAGAGAGACACAGCGAGAGAGGGAACACAAGCAGGGGGAGTGGGAGAGGGAGAAGCAGACTTCCCACTGAGCAGGGAGCCCGATGCGGGGCTCAATCCCAGGACCCTGGGATCATGACCTGAGCCAAAGGCAGACGCTTAACACCTGAGCCACCCAGGCGCCCCAAGACTTTCTTTTTTCAAACACATATACACATGATTGAAATGAAAATATCCTATAAAAATACCTAAGAAGAATGATATCATTCAACACAGTTCAGAAAATTTGCAAGCACAGCACTAAAACCTTAGTTTTCTCAGTATCTCTTTATATATGGGTATGTGTGTATACATATTTATATATATATATATATATATATGCAGAATTTTAATCTACCAGTTGAGTGCATCCATCATGGGTTCTTAATTCAGGATCCATGAATGGACTTTAGGGTATCTCTTAACACCCTAACATCATATGTAAATCTTTTTTTGCATATATACATATGTACATTTTTATGAGGAAAAGGTCTATAACTTCCAATAGATTATCAAGGAAGTCTCTGGCTTTAAAAATGGGGAAGGGTAGGATAGAGCAAAAGGAGATAAATAACCATTTGCCTGCTTTGTGAGTAAAACATTAAACCAGTCACTTTGGGGTATGCAGAAAGGTAAAGATGACCCTCATTTTCAGGGCAATAAGTGAACTAACATTTACTGGACTGTTACCCAAAGCCAGGTACTGAACTGGGGTATTTTTCATGTAGTAGTTCATTCATTCAAACTACATCCCCAGGAGGGAGGTGGTAGTCTCCGGATTTTATAAATGAGGGGCAGCAGCTATAGCAGGAAGATCTCAGTTCAAACCTGGTTTTGAACAAATTCAGAAAAATTAAAGAATTTGCCTCAGAGGCAAAGCCTAGAAGTGATAGAACTTACTGTCTAATTGAGAAATACGATTAACTTAATGCTAACGAAAATGGTCTTATTGAATATTCAAATCTAAGAAATCTTCATGAACAAAGATAGAGGACTTAGGTCTCAGAAGAAGAGGATAGGTTTAGGATAGTACCTTCCAACTGAGAATTAAACTCTAAGGCCCTAAGGCATGCATTGTATCTGATGAATCAGTTTGTTTCCTATGCACCTGGAAGGTACGAGCTTTAGGTATGGGTACCTAAAGAATAGATTGGGGTAGAATTTTGAAAATCTCTTGCCATGCTAAAGAGTAGCTCTTAGCCATGGAAACCTAGTTTTGGGTTAGGGGGAGGGGTAAATATGTATTTGAAGATAGGACTGTTAACTATAGCACTTAGGATCATAAAAAAATGTTATTTAGGGCTATAAGAAATATGTAAATCCATACAAATATAGAAGTGTTTATTTAAAATATGTTTAGTTTTAAGTTTACTGTCCATCAGCGTAAGAGCTGTGAGATGCTTTTATGTCAAGTAGTTGAGGAATTCTAGGTTAAAAGATCAAAAGTATTCGGTTAATTGAGTTGGAAAATGTCTGAATAAAATGCACTGGCCTTTACAGTTTTGTTTGCTTCTGTAGGACCTACGGAAAGCTGGATTGCTGATTTTTGCTAATAAACAAGATGTTAAAGAATGCATGACTGTAGCAGAAATCTCCCAGTTTTTGAAACTAACTTCTATTAAAGATCACCAGTGGCATATCCAGGCATGCTGCGCTCTTACTGGCGAGGGGTAAGAGGTCTTCCTTTTGGAAAATACGTCTTTATTTTAGAAACATGTATTTTTAAAATCAATAAATATTTAAGGCTACCATGTATAAAACAATGTAAGGGAGAGATGTGAGACATAGTCCTTATCTGTAATTAGAGAGTTTTTAGCTTGGTTCTGTAAAGAATAAAACCTAAAACATGCGCGTAATACGTGTAAACGTACTGAACTAGTCCATATGAACAAATAGATGATAGAATTGCTGTAGGAATTCAGAGAAATGGGAGTGTCACAGAGAGCTGGACAAGTCAGGAAACAGTCCCTGCACTGGTGGTGGGTCTTAACACTGTAACGTCCTGTGCCTTGGGTGCTTTCCATACAGTGTATCATTTAGTTGTGATAACAATCCTGTGGACTTTTTGGTTTTAATTTACATTTTATCCATGAAGAAACTGAACTAGGAAAGGATTCAAGTGTGAGACTAATTTGGGGATACTCATTTTGCCACTAGTGTTGTCAAGAGGGGGTTGTTGCACTTTAAAAAAGGGGTGGGAAATTGGAGAGAGTTTGGCTCGAAGGTTCCTGGTTTGGAAAAGAAAGGTAGATGCCTGCAGTAGAATTTTGCCCTAGTCTAATGCCCAGAGATGAAAGGATTTCAAGAAAGAAGTGGTTGTCAGCATTGTCAAATATAAGGTCAAGGATGAGGAAGAGGGAGAGAGTGCTATTAGGAGAGATGGAATAAAGGAGGTTAGAAATAGGTTTAAAAGCTGAAAGAGATGAGCAAGTTAAGGTTTTCGTTGTAGTTTTTCCAAAATATGGTGGATCTGTGTATTTAAAAGGATTGAAAAATAATTAAATTGGATGTGAAGATTCACATCCAATTTAAGGTATAAATTTGAGGTATACGATAGGGTAGAAGCCCAGGGCAGAGATAGATAGCTTTAGTAACTCATTGTATTAGTTCACCTTCACCATGGTCTTGAGGAGAATTTCTCCCACTTCAGCTACCTCATCTGTTTCTGCCCCAAGCTTCTGGTCTTGCCTAATATCAGAAGAACCTCAACCCCAAATTTAAGACCTCTATTTAGAATCCCTCATGTATGTATTTAAAAGCAGAGAAAAAAGAAGTAAATTGGAGATGAAGCTGAATCTTAGTGAAATAGAGGGCCCTATTACCTGATTACAGACAATTGATAGGACATAATTAGAACCTCAAAAAAGCAAATATGTTTATAGTTTGAAAAAAAAAAAGTCACAGATAATACCCATTGTCCACATACTCATTTAGGTAAAAATATCTTATCCATTACATATTTCTTTGTCAAATAGTTGAATACTTGTTGATATAGGTATATCTTTATATGTTATATTTGTCTACCAAAGGTCTTAAGCAAAAGCACTGATTTTAATACTAAATTTGACAACAAAGATCATGGAGGATTCGCAGAAGATTTGACTTAAATACTTGGAGTAATTGTGTGGAAATATATCATTAGGATAGATACGAACCCTGGCAGTTTCATTTTTAAAAGAGGAAATCAATGGATGATGTTATATCTTTCTAATTTTTGGTTTATGTGGGCTTCCCTCTGCAGTAGTTATCAAGTGGAAATGTTTGGTTTTGGAGAAAATGTTTCCCTTCTGCAGTCCAGCCACCTTGATCTAAGCTCCAGGTTTTAGTATTGGTTGGTTGGCATTTGACTCCCACCTCTGCCATTTGCTAGCGTCTTTTAAGCCTGGGTTCCCTCTTGTAGTATGGGAAGGGTTCTGGTCCTTTAATCTGTGAAGATTAAGATAATGGGTATTAAGTGCTTAGCACAGTTTCTAGTTTGCAGTTAGGTAACTACTGTTCATTTAACAGTTTGGACTTAATTTATTTGCCTTTTATTTTTATTATTTTGTACCATTTCCTATCAGTAGTTTAAAAGTAAGGAATCTACTAACAGTAGGGAAAGTATGAGCCAACACCAAGATAACCATTTATTTACCTCATTGTCTTTTCTTCTTTTTCTTCTTCTTTTACATTATTAGGTTCATACTTCTGCAAAAATCTGAGTTCTGGTGTTTTTTAATTAAATATAGTAGCATATTTTATCATATCTATAAAAGCTCCTCATAGATAATAGTTAATATTTTGTAATAGTCTTTCATTTTGTTATAATATGTACAACCATTTTCCTCTCGCTAAACATTTAGTTTTATTATCATAGTGAACATCTCTTTCTATGTTTTGTGCTGTTCTCAATTACACATTGTTCACTAGTAACTGGTATTAGTGATTAAGAGATTTTATTGCCTTCAAATTTTTAAAATATATAGATGTAACATACATGTGTATACTTTGTTTTACCACCTCAACTATATATTTAGTTTAATATCCTGCCACTTTTATTTCATTTATATCATGAGCATTTTATACTGTAAAATTGTCTTTGAAAGGAAGTTTTTACTATTTCATGATATCAGTGTTCTATATTTAAATTTTTTCTCTATTTCTAGGTATTTAAATTTTACCTATTAAAAATGCTTTGATGAACAGTCTTATATATCAACCTGTCCTTGTCTCTTACTGTTTTTTTGGAATGTATTTCTAGAAGTAGAAAAAAGGTATTGATATTTTAAATATTTTTGATACATATTGCCAAATTACTTTCCGTGGATATTCATTATATAATTATTGAGCTCCTTTTATGTGGCAGGCAGTGGTCTAGGCACTGAAGACATAACAAAACCAGAAAAGCGTGGATGTACTACTGTGAGTGAGAGTATGGCTTCACCACAATAACACCAGCATTGAATACTACTGACTTTGTAATCTTTGTTGTTTAGGAAAATGAAAAATGGTATCTTTCCGCTTGTTGTTCATAGCTTTTTAGTTGAGAATTTAATCAAATGATTTTATATTCTTTATAGATTATGCCAAGGACTTGAATGGATGATGTCACGACTTAAGATTAGATGATCTCTACTGACCTCTTCTCATAGACTGTGCATAAACGAAGTGCTGGACTTTACCTGAAAGCTGCAAAAATTAATGGTTTAGATATATTTATAATAAACTGATTTAAACTGTTTTCTATAAGAAGAAAAATTAAGACCACTTGTTTGAAAACAAAGATGAAGTCTCACTTTCCAATCTGCTTTCTCATTAGTTCCTTCCAAAGCAAGGTCTTTAAAGCTGTGATTGCCATTTTTTTCATAATGAATCCTCTCAGGACACTGTATAGCCTGTGGTAAGTACAAAGGGAGAGGAAGACATTTTTCACTTTAAGAGCTTTATTGTCAGTATAACCTTCCTTAGTTGAATGTTACTCTCTTCGTGTTCCATTAAGTCAAAATACAAATCAGCAGATACTCAGTTTCCAATTAATGTTAATTATGAAAAGTATTTTGCATAAGGTTGTGTATGTATTGTGTATATACCTCAAATTCAAGTTTATGGCTTTGATTATGTTCTAAAGAAAAGCAAATAACACAAAAAGTAATAATATCCTTTGTTAATAACCATAATGAGATGAGTACTGGCATTGGTGTTAAGTGCCATTTTGTGCTTTGCCCCTGTGTTCTCTGTGTTGTACTGACCAATCCCCAAAATCATTGAGCTGCTCTTAAAAAAAAAAGAAGAAAGCTCAACAGTGTGTACCTATCTTTTGTTGATCAAATTACATGCATGAAAACATGTAATCCAACGGAGTGGAGTCTCTGCAGATTTTTGGCTTAGTATTATGAATGGACAGAATTTCACGTTGAGCAATTACCAGATTGTTTCCTTTATTGGATCTATGCCATCTAATTTCTAAATTCTCTAAATGAGAAAATTGTTAATCCATTAATCAGTCAATCATTTAATTGTGATAAAATTATCAAGTGATTTTTTTTTCAACATTAATGGGAAGCTGTTGTGTAAAATATGTCTACCCAGAGAAGTATCACCCTATAAATATTAATCAAATAATTTACCTAGAGTCTTCTTAGGTATTGAATTATATGTCAGTCATTTTAAAGGGAGTTTGAGATGAAAAGTAAAGCTTATTTTTTAAGCAACAAAGGTTATTTCTTAATTTGAAAATTTCTCATTTTAGGAATTGGGATAGTTTGAGATTTTTTGTTTCTATACGTTTTCTTTTATCTTCCTAACACCATGTGAATGCATTAACGATTATAAAATACAAACTTTTTTTAATGCTTTTAAGAATTTGATTTAAAAGCTGATCAACATGATATATTATTTTTACAAAGAAGTAACTTGGCCGCAAATATCTTATGTTTGCTTAGGATATTTTTTTTTTTCACTGAAAATGGAAAGATACGAAGGTTGAAGGTATTTCTGTTGTAATTGTAAACAAACTTATCCTAAATGTGTTCAAACCTATTTTTGGGTACTCTCTTTGTATATGTTTCATGCCCTGAAAATCTGAAGGCTGATCCAAACTGGCATGTTTTAGAATATTGAAGAAAAGAAATAACTACTTTTAATACCAGCCTTTTAGATTTCATGCAGATTTTGATGAGGAATAATAGTATATACCACAAGCATTGACAAAACTTTGAAAGTTTCTTTCTGTAAAATATACTCAATATCTAAATCCAAGTCAGGCATGGGAGATCAGTGTTTAACAGTGGATGTTTTGTGTTTTATATTTATATTACAATGTTCATAATGCAAGTATAACATTTTAATATTTGTCAACTTGCTTTTACAAAAGTAAATTCTAAATTACTGAGTTTTATTTGTTCATATGTTCTCATACTTTTTCAAATCACTATTAGGAATTATTTGTTTTATATTAAAAACTCCCTTAAAAACCCAAATGTATTTTGCAGATGTTGCATTTTCATCAGAGATAAATATTCTGTAAAGTAGTCCGGCAAATTCACATCTTTTACCCTTTTTATCTTTTCACTTGAATAGTCATGGCTTAGTCCTGTGGGTTGCTGCCACGTCATTTCAGTGCTATACCAGCACCTTCCCTTCTCGTCAGGGTGTTGGCTAAAATTTATCCTTAGCTGGATGTTTAAAGCATGCACTACATTGTTACAGTTGGTTTAGTGTGGTAGGTGACTGACATGGCATCATGAGAATGCATGAAATCTTATACCACATTTACAAAACATGATTTTTTGTTACATTCTTCCTTTCCAGGCTAAACATTAGAAGTAAGGTTGTACCTATACACTTGTACATAAAACCAAAATTACAATGACAAAAAAATTTTGATTCATGTATGAATATACATCAAGATAATTTTAACAGTATTATTTCCAGATATGATGGAGAGCCTCATGAGTAGTCATACTGGCAATTTATATGGAGTTTAAATAGAAGTAAGCAAAGGGCAGTGCTTTTGGTTTTTAATATGCTACTTTTGGGTGTAAACAACCATCTTCTTTAGAGTCATTGTGCTCACCTTTGAAAAGAACAAAGCTTCATACCTCTGTACATGTGGCTGGATTTGAATATCCTTGTTTGATATTAATTTTGAAAGTCATATAATTATTCTTGATATCTTGGTAAAAGTAACCATATGCTATAAGCATTTAAATACGTTTAATTTTGTGATAATAGCATTTATAAAGTATATCTTACACATTATATTGAGGAGTCTAGTTAGAAAGTTTTCAGTTCTCTCTATCTTCTTTGGCTCTTATAATGGGCAAAGAATACAGTGAAGGCAGGTGGTTTGGGGGGCAGGGGGAAGTGGGTATGGGATATGACATTTTGCCTTAAGAATAAAAAAAGTGCTTTAGCACTGCTGGCTGGCATTTTTAATGCAGATAGTTAAAGTGATTTTAGAAGTGTGGCGTGAAATAGAAGAGTTTGTTTTCTGGCCTTTAAGAAGTGCCTAGTAGGTAGTTACAGAAAAGTACAGGGAGCTTGAGGAAAGGCAGGAAGTCCCTGAGATACTCTTTTCTTTTTTGTCTCAGTGTATAGAATTAAGATGCCTAGAAATGGGATTCTGTTGTCCTCTCTCTTGTAGGCACTTTACATTTCTTGCTGTGACCACAGCAACCACATACAGTACAGACAACCTCAAAATCTGTTTATATTAGTGTAAATAGAAAAACTGTAAACAACTAGATTTCTAGTTTTCTCTGCAGGCATTTTTGGGAATGTATCTGTAGTGTATTCTACTTTGTATCTAGAGGATAGCAGCACATCCCAGATTTTTCTGTGGACTTTGGGGTCATCTTCTCTCAATTACCCAGTTGTATCCTGTCATCAGTCCCTCTTTCAAAGCTGGGTAGAGACAAGGTTTCTTTGCATGACTTATCTTTGACCCCTCCCAACTGTCCGAATATCTAGAACTTCTTGCTGCAGATCAGCTTTCCCATAGCTCAGCCATCCCTTGCTCCCCTGTATCTTCATTCACCATCAGTGAAGGTATGTTACTCAATCCTAGAGGTATTCTAAACTTTGCCTTAAAGCCATCATTCCCCAAACCACCAGTTTCTGAGTAGGTTCTGTAGTTCTTTGCTATCTCCCCACCACTGGCTTGATTTATCAATTTGTACTTTGCTCATTAGAGAGTATTGTCAGGGTTGTTGAGTACGTCAGAAGACTGGCTTGCTGTATATACAGCATATAAATGCCAGTAATAAAATCCTTTATACTATATTTAACATAGTCATGTTTCTTAGTTTTAGCTTCATATGCTGAAAAGTAGATTCAGAAAGATAACAGAACTACCTAGACTAAGCCAGCTCCTTAAGCTGCTAGTTAGGCATGGAAGGGATGAAGTTATGTGTATTTTATCTTCCCATTACCAATAATGGATTGCATTTTGGAGGATACCTGTGCAAACAACTTGAGTTAGAAGAAGATGCCATACCAAATTTATATGTAGTGTTTACCCCAGAGACATCCGTAAAACCATAGCCCACATTCTATTTTTTTCCTCATAGTTACGTAAAGAACACAAATAAACATTAGATGTCTAAAGAAATTAGTAATGAGAAGCCTATCTTTGCAAAATAAACCTGTTGAAATAGGCTTTAAAAGACATCAAAGTGAGCCATCATGTGTTGATTCTGTATAGATGTAGATATGGTATAGAAAGGTACTAATTTAAAGTTCCTCCTATACAAAAATAGAACTTCTATCTCCATGCTCCCTCAAAGAAAGTGTGATAGTTTTAAGACCATATTGGTGAAATAAAGGAAAAAAAATTTTAAAACTTTGGATGCTAAAAAAAATAACTGTTTCTATTAAACCCTAAAGTGGTGTGTGGAATTGTGAAGAAATTGTAACAGGATACAGTTGGGTTAATTATGCAATTTTTAAAATCAATTGTCTCGTTGTTATGTATTGTTCTTAAAACTAAAGTCTGTGGTCTTGCCTGCTAGATACATTGTTCTTTGAAAGAATATTCCCATAGTCTATACCCAAGAAGTGCCTAAAATTAATTTGTGTGGGATTTTAAGTCCATCTAATAAAGTATATGTGTTTTCTATGGTATTATATGTGCTTGGTGTACTGATGACAAAACCCTGAGAATTTCTAAGTCACAGTTTGTGCTTTATTTGAGTAAAAAAAAAACAAAAACAAAAACAGAAGAAACCTAGATAACAAACCATAGTTTAGGAAACATGAGGAAAACCATTTTTTCTCTTTCCTAATAAAAATATTCTATTGCCCTTTTGCTAATGTAGAGGCTAGAAAACTGAACCCTGTTTCTGTTTTTTAAAAAACAGTTTTCACACACAAAATTATATTGTGTGTTTTAAAACCTTAGTGAAACTTGATCGCTTATTTAAGAGTAGCCTCTTAACTCTCCTCATACTTAGCGGTTAGTAATTTTGATCATATTGTTTACATCTTGATCCATTTTGTGTGTGTGCCTGCCCAGATCCTTCCTCTGTTTAGATTCTACTTACAAACTAAAATATTTGATAGACTCCTATTATGTTTCTCATATTTCCCTTCTTCCCTCCCTCCCTCCCTCCCTTCCTTCCTTTTTTTCTGACCATAGGGTGTGACTCTAAATTCTGGGGGCAGAGACTTGACTGTATTTTCAGTGATTTACAATAACATTGTGTTTATATTTTAAATCATCTTGCATGCAAAGTGAAATGTGTACATGATTTTAAATAATTGTATACTATTCTCTTCTCCAAAACCTCTTACATTGGTGATATACAGAATTCCTCTAATTATTTTTGCTTGAACTAGTCATTTAGATTGGAGTAGCCTTTTCTTATATTATGTCCCTCTATGGTTTTTTTGAGAGGAGGTGATACCTGCAGAGCACTTTTAAAAAAATCTTTTCTGGGTTAATTAAGTTCAAGATAACACATTGAGGAGGAAGCTCTAATTATGTCTAAGCAGGGCTCTTTTGGTTGCTAGAGATGAGAAAAATGTATACTAATTTTAATTTGTGCTTAAAATACATCTTACTAACAGTATTGATTTTAAATATGACAAATTCTTGTAGATAGTCTTCCTTCCTTACTGTATTTTCCTAGAGAAGCCTACATGAAAATGTGTTCCAAGTAGTCTATTTGTATAACTGCCCCTCGCAAATTGAGCTCTATGTATATTGACATAGTTGAAGCCACATTTAATACAAGAAGGAATTAGGAAAAACTTCTGAAAGTTTTTAGGTTTGCTGTATTGGAATTTCTAATATGATGAAAGGTTTTGAGTCAAGCTTTGTATGCATGAAGAGGCAGAAAAATCTGTCTTCTCTCT